TAAATATTGAGGATATATACAGGGTGTCCCAAAAATGTCTCGTAATCCGGAAATGGTGTTCAAATGATTATTTGAAGCAACTTCTTCCTTTACAAAAATTTTCTCCGAGGCACCGTTAACGAGTTATTAACGAAAAACAGTGACCAATAAGAATCGAGTACGGCTGACGCGAGGCGGTCCAGCCAAGCAGCGCACGAAGCCCAGTTCCGCTCATTGGCTCGGTCGCCTCGCGCTAGCTGAGCTCGCCTCTCATTGGTCACTGTTTTTCGTTAACAACTCGTTAACGGTGCCTCGGAGAAAATTTTTGTAAAGGAAAAAGTTGCTTCGAATGACCTGAGGAACCCGCCACTTTCGGATTGCGAGACATTTTTGGGACACCCTGTACATTTATTTATGTTGGTAAAATTTAAATTTATTTTTGTATTCTGTCTAATTGCTCGCGTCGAACTTGCTATTAATTAAAAAGTTAATTTATTCTACCAAATGCGTTAAAGCATATTCGTACTCTATTAATATTATTATCGATTAAAATCACATCGTACCGTGAACTTTCGTAAAATAAATTCCAAATAGAGGTAGCAATTATTAACTAGGAAATTTATGGATACTTTCGCTACGAAATTGTTTTATAGCAATGAATTATTTCCGAATAGATTTTCGTATGAATTGATAAAGAACGTAGCGCAATGGAATGCAATGTAACAGAAATTATAGAGTTTGTATCTCCGAGGTGACGACAAAGAAATATGATATCGCGAGGTGTAGTATAATTGCGAAGTGGTATCTTTATTCATGTCCGACTTTGAATACTGAATTCCCTTGTTCCCAGTGATTAAAGTGATTCTTGCCGCTGATAGTTCGTTGCTGCATGGCAAAGTGGTAAGAATCAATTAGCACGGTTTTATCAGGAAATCTGTTACACGCATTTCAATTACAGGTTTTGTCGATCGCTCGACCCTTTGCATTAGCTTCGATGTAAGATACGATGGCAGTTTATTCGGGCGGACAGAGAGAAAAAGAAAATAAACGGAAGATAATTAACGAAATGAATCTAGCACGTGGATATAAGAAAATGATTAAATCGCGATTTTTAGTGAGACGATTTAATAGCGTTGCATTTGGGTGAAATCGGGCGCTCGAGAAATCGACGTGCTATGCCAATNCCGTTAACGAGTTATTAACGAAAAACAGTGACCAATAAGAATCGAGTACGGCTGACGCGAGGCGGTCCAGCCAAGCAGCGCACGAAGCCCAGTTCCGCTCATTGGCTCGGTCGCCTCGCGCTAGCTGAGCTCGCCTCTCATTGGTCACTGTTTTTCGTTAACAACTCGTTAACGGTGCCTCGGAGAAAATTTTTGTAAAGGAAAAAGTTGCTTCGAATGACCTGAGGAACCCGCCACTTTCGGATTGCGAGACATTTTTGGGACACCCTGTACATTTATTTATGTTGGTAAAATTTAAATTTATTTTTGTATTCTGTCTAATTGCTCGCGTCGAACTTGCTATTAATTAAAAAGTTAATTTATTCTACCAAATGCGTTAAAGCATATTCGTACTCTATTAATATTATTATCGATTAAAATCACATCGTACCGTGAACTTTCGTAAAATAAATTCCAAATAGAGGTAGCAATTATTAACTAGGAAATTTATGGATACTTTCGCTACGAAATTGTTTTATAGCAATGAATTATTTCCGAATAGATTTTCGTATGAATTGATAAAGAACGTAGCGCAATGGAATGCAATGTAACAGAAATTATAGAGTTTGTATCTCCGAGGTGACGACAAAGAAATATGATATCGCGAGGTGTAGTATAATTGCGAAGTGGTATCTTTATTCATGTCCGACTTTGAATACTGAATTCCCTTGTTCCCAGTGATTAAAGTGATTCTTGCCGCTGATAGTTCGTTGCTGCATGGCAAAGTGGTAAGAATCAATTAGCACGGTTTTATCAGGAAATCTGTTACACGCATTTCAATTACAGGTTTTGTCGATCGCTCGACCCTTTGCATTAGCTTCGATGTAAGATACGATGGCAGTTTATTCGGGCGGACAGAGAGAAAAAGAAAATAAACGGAAGATAATTAACGAAATGAATCTAGCACGTGGATATAAGAAAATGATTAAATCGCGATTTTTAGTGAGACGATTTAATAGCGTTGCATTTGGGTGAAATCGGGCGCTCGAGAAATCGACGTGCTATGCCAATGAATTTCGATAGTTGGACCTGTTGCGTCGCCGAATGTGTGGACCGTTCGAAGACGGGGAACATTCATCGATCGAACGTGGTGACATTCGCGGAGATAAGATAGTTCCGAACGAGGCGTGATTCCGCTCCGATATTCCAAGCTACTTTTCACCTGCGGATATTGTTGCAATTACTTACTCGGAGATATTTTTCTTCGCAGCGTCGCGTCTCACGAAACTTGAAATAATATTACGATGCATTCGAGCTTTCTGCTATCCTCGCGTTATCTTCATTCGCGTTACATTTCATTGGACTTACAATAAAATTAATTTACAATCATTTTCTAGTTTACCTTTGCGCGTCTTTTTGTCGCGTAACATTTCATCAGACTTGGAATCAAATTCATTTACAATCATGTTCTATTTTTCTGCATTTTAATCGCGTTACATTTCATTGGACTTGCAATCAAATGAGCATAGAATCGAATTTTATTTTAGTAACAATTATTGGTTAACAAGTATTTTATTTCTTTTTGATTGAATGTTTATAGTTGAACTTAACGTTGTACTGTATTATATCATCGCGAGATAAATAATAATAGATTCACGATAAGTAACGACATACTTTTACATTTTTATAATAGAAACATTTACATTGTATTAAATTAAGATTAGATCTTGATTAAGTAGAACATTTTTGCATGTTACAAGAACTTTTAATACTTTTGGATGCGAATCAATAGGACGAGTCTCCTTTTTGAGGTTTTCTTGGATTGCAACGATAATTTCTTGTCCGTATTATATTTTGCAATATATTTAGCAAGCAAGCTTATTTTAGTAGCATAAAATTTAAGAATCAATTCAGCTGTATCTTAATAATAGATTATTGTAATAGATTATTATAGAAACAGATTATTATATAATCTAAAAAAAATATAAAATCTATTATAATATTGTTATTATTATAGATTATTCTAGAATCATAAATAATAAAATTAGCATTGTTAGGAAGTACGGGAACAGTCGCTATTATTAACAAGTTGAACTCGTAATGTTTATTCTATAAAGAAAAGTGATCTTGCCTCGTAATTTGTAAAATTAACAACTAATTTCCTGGCGAATTTCTACTTGATATCTTCTATGTACGAACGAGAGAGATCGAACAAATAATATTCAGCTCGGAATGCTTTCGAATCTGTAGCCAGTAAAAATTTCATTTAACCATTTTCTATTCAGCCTAATCGGCAGTCTCATTTAATTTGCTTGGAACGCGTGCACGCGATATGAATTCGACTCGAATTCGGAGGAAATGAAATTATAACGATCTCCCCGACTACAGTAATGTTTCTCTAATTGACGCTCAGTTTGTCCATAAAAATGGCGAATTTGGGTAGAGGAGATACGATTATTCGAGACTTGCGGTTCGTTTTTATAGTTACAAATTGTCAACAACTATAGCAACGATAACTAAAACACGAATAATCGTATTTCCTATTTCCAAATTGTCCATTTTTTGTGCACAATCCGAGCGTCAATTAGGGAGACATTACTGTACTTGTTCGCTTATCATTACCATACAGCAAAACATCATTGCAAATCGTCCCAAATAACAATCTTAACTCTCGGTAGCGATGTTTCGATCATTTTCAGATAGAAAAAGCCCCGTCACACACTCGATCACTCACACTTCACTCATCTCACACACTCGGGACCACCCCAAATCGCTCGAATTCCAGGTGTCTCCCTTTGCTTCACATCCCTGCATAAAAAGAATTCAACCTCGAAATTTTCAAACCTGCACCCTTCCCCTTCCCTCTCCCCGGTAGGAAGATCAAATAGAAAAAGAACAAAAGAATCAAAGTTTACCAGATCGAGAGAAACCCTCACTTCCAAAAACCATTGCAAGACAGCACCGATCACGAGACTACCACGCTTATACGCGATTTTGGGAACAGCGTGTCAACTGCCATCTAGGCTTATGTCATTTATTCGAACTAAAATTCAATTTAAATTATGAGATTGCAATGTAAAGTTAATCAGAATGTTTCCATTATTGTCAATATTCGTAGACACTATCTCGGACGGAGGCAAGTGCGCTAGAAGAATAGACGACGACTAAATCCTTTACAAAGATGAACTAACTTTAAAGTCGAAATCCAAACAGATTTTATCCTTATTCTTCTCTCTCTCTCTATCAAATTTTCGTCTTATTTTTTTCACGTAGAATCACTTCATCATTTTTTTCACGTAGAATCGTTTCTTAGGCGTTTACGGTAGTCTGACAAAAAAAATGTTGGGAATAAAAGTTAACGAGTCCTTCGAGGAGCACAAAATGTGATAATCAAAATTTCGAAAAATATTTTTATTCGATAAAAAGCTCAGGTCACTTAGACCTTGTTTAAACAGCGCTGTGTACTTTTGTCTCTATAACGTTACAGCTGACGAAAAAACGATCTACTACGCGATGACTTTTACTGTTTACAGTCTCAGCCCGAACGTATCACTGATTCTTGGTTACTAGTACGTTTCACTAACGCGTAAAAAATTATTTCCTCTAATTATTGCGAATTTCAAAGCTAAAATTCATTGAAAGAAAAGATGACATTAGTCTAGACGGCAGTTGAAACTCTGTTCCAAAATTGTGTACGAGCGTGGTAGATCCCTGGCACCGACCACCATAATCACCAATCACTATACCGTAGCTCTCTGAAGGGCCGCCTCTCCCCCCTACCCCCACCCCCTCCATATTCGGCACCATCCACCGTGTTAATCATGCCCTGAGACCAATTGGCACTTTTAATTTCGGCAGGCGCGCTCATGAAAGACGCGGATAAGCTGAAGCTGATGCTGCTCGCGTGGAATTATAATCTTCAACAGCAGGCTCAGGCTCAGGCTCAGGCCCAGGCTCAGGCTCAGGCCCAGGTACAGGCGCAGGCCGCCAACGCGGCCCTCTCGCCAAATAACTCCTCGACAACCACGGCCACCACCGTTGGCACACCTGTCACCAGTCAATCGGCTATATCCACGGCAAACAACACCATTAACAACTCCACACTTACAGGTAACGCCTTATTTCATCGAGCGAAATCGAAATCGAAATCGAAATCAAAATCGAAACCGATACCGATACCGAAACCCGCGACCGATCCAATTTTCCGGTCGAATCTCTGTTCGAATTTCTGATCGACCACGGTTTTTTTTAACAATTCCACGAACGCGATGCTGTGGGGTCTCTCTCAAGCCGCCTATGCGCATCGGTTTTTGAAGACCGGTAATTTTTGGCCAAAAATCAGGGAAAAAAATTGTTCTGGAACTATGTAATTTAGGGTTATCGAGGTCGTTGACAACGAGTCTGTTTCTAAAAACTTGAAATTCAAAAATGGCGGCTTGAGTCGACGATACGTGGCAGCACGAAAGACGATTCGTATCCTTTTCTTAACATAAATCTTTGGTTACGACGATTGCTCTCGATTGAATACATTTAGGGCGACGTTTATATCAGTAGCTAAGGCAGAGAACACGAAAATGCAACTAGAAATAGTACAATCATTTTACCTACGATTTATTTGAATCAGCATGCGAAACACTGAAAGAAGACTCGGACGCCTGCTCATGGAAACTCGCGTAGAATTGAAGGTCGCAAATTTAGGTATTCTCGTTTAGAATCGTGTAAATTTTCGTATGAAATTTAGTCTGAAGTCAGTCGTGTTTAATCGTTTTGGTACGAGCCTTTCAAAGACATATTTTGGTAATAGCCTCGTCAAAGTTTTAAATGTTGCCTTATATATACAAAATACTTATACCACCATGAAATGACTAAAATATAACTGCTCACATACATGAAAATATAGCACACACTTGAATTTGTATATTTATTATTATAACAAATAATTAAAATAATTAGTTTTACTTTCACAATTTGATAAGGTCTTTGTAACGCTATGTAACTTAACACTTAACACGTTCTATGCCGAGTTGTTTTTACTCGACTTTTCACGCTGGCCATTTGATATTTTACTAAAACTTGATATATTATATGTAATTATTAATCATCGTATGTAATAATAAAACAAACTTATCATGACCCATTCTTGCGGTGGAATTAATTCTTCGGTTCTATATTTGCTACAAACTATTTTGTTAACGCATTAAAGAAACATGTAAGCATGTACCATCGATGGTACACATGGCACGGAACGTGTTAATA